GGTCGATACAAGGATGACCCCTTGTTCAAACCAATAGTGGAAAAACCAAAGGAGTACAAGAACTTTGAATATGACGAAACTGAAGGGTTATTGTACATGAAGCAGGAGACTCGACATCTTCTATGCATTCCAAATGTGAAAGTGGGCAGCAGAAGTGTCCGTGAGATTGTGATCTCAGAAGGCCACTCCGTTCTCGCGCACCTAAGCTTTAAGAAGACATATGATTACCTTCGTGAGTATGTCTGGTGGAAGACTATGTCTCCTGACATTGAGAAGTATTGTGAAACTTGCAGGACTTGCAAGCACAGTAAAGATAATAATCACAAACCATATGGCCTGCTCAACCCGTTAGACATTCCTGGGCAACCCTGGGACTCGATCGGTATTGATTTTGTAGGACCGCTTCCGGAATCATCCAATCGCGATGGAAGTTTCGACTCGATCACTGTCATCATTGATCTATTTTCTGGATTAGTTCATCTCGTACCCTCGAGGACGACTTACACTGCAAAGGACATTGCTGAATTAATATTCTCAGAGGTCTACAAACACCATGGACTGCCAAGATCTATTGTAAGCGACCGTGACACGTTGTTCACTAGTCATTTCTGGGAAGAGTTGCACAAATTGATCGGAACGAAGCTCAACATGTCGAGCGCCTATCATCCAGAGTCGGACGGCGCTACTGAGCGTGCGAACAAAACCGTCACCCAGATGATTCGCCATTGTATCGGGCAAACTCAGAAGGACTGGGTGCAGAAATTACCTGCTATTGAATTTGCCATCAATTCGGCTCGCTCGGAGAGTACGGGCTTCGCACCATTTTTCCTTAACATGGGAAGAATGCCACGTTCGTTCATTTGGGACTCAAACAAGCCATCCGAATTCCCCGGTGTAAGAACGTTCGCGAAGCGCATGAAGACCGCCATAATGCGAGCACATGATTCAATAATAGCGGCTCGCATGAAATCAGTTCGTAATGCTAATAGAAAGCGGATCGTCACTCCGTTCAAATTAAATGATTATGATCTACCTACCCAAGGTTGAGTCGGAAACTTGCTCCTCGGTTTATCGGGCCATACCTCATTACTGAGGATTTCGGAAATAATTCTTTTCGGATTAAACTTCCGCCTAGTCTCAGAAAGCGAGGGGTCCACGATGTCTTCCATTCCTCGTTACTTAGAATCCACATTCCGAATGATGACCGGTTGTTTCCGGGTCGTCTGGACACTCAAGTCTTCGATCTCGAAGACTTGGAGGGCGAATGGGCAGTAGAAAAAATTATATCTCATAAAAATGAAGGTCAAAATGCGATTTTTGAAGTCCTGTGGAAATCCGGAGACAAAACTTGGCTACCATACAGTCAAGTAAGCCATTTAATTGAGCTTCAACAGTACCTCGAAGCAAAGGGGGCAAAGAATATTTCAGAACTTTCTAGAGGTCTGGGCACAATAGATAACAATGATCCTCAAATTTTCGTG